AGAGAGTTCTGTAAGTTTTAGGATGTTTCATGATGAAGCAAATACCAACTGTGATAGGTATTTCGACTGACACAACTAAAAATCATAAATCAGACACTACTATACATAGTCTTTAAATATGTCTGTTTTTCACAATTTAAAAAACAGACAATGTTAAAGACCATGTATGTTAGGATACAGAAATTTTAATTGACATGATAGGCTATTTCATGTTTTATATACACCCAACTCTTGAAAAGGTCTTGAAGCTTGCAGAACTTTCTAGGAATTTTTTGGAAAAATTGTTAATTTTATTTTAACGAAACAAATACTCCATGCAGTAGTGATAGAGCTCTTGCTTCTTAAGCGAGAAGTTGCCTGTGGTGAGGATCAAACTCAGAAATTATTTGCCAAGGTTTGTCCTTTAGAGTTATAGAGTTGAGACAGGTTGTAACCACAATCTTGTTACAACTATTGATGCAAAAACAGTGCAAAAAAAGCACAAGAAATAAAATAAAGTTGCAGTAGAGAAAGTTTTTAACTTGGTGTTTTTCAGTTATCATTGAGTTTAACATCATTGAGTTATCATTTATCATTGAGTTTATCAGTTATCATTGAGTTTAACTTTTGTTGTTACAATTTTTTCATTAGTATGTTAAAAAAGCACTCACCGTCTCCACATAAATGTTTGTTATCTGTTGCAATTTTTTTATTAGTATGTTAAAAAAGCACTCACCGTCTCCACATAAATGCTTGTTATCTGAGCAAGTGATGTTGTGTAAATCACAAATTTTTTCATCAGAGCCATCATAACAATCAAAATCTTTGTCACACTTCCATGATAATGGAATGCACTTGCGCTGATCATCACACTGAAAATCTTCAGTTGAACACTTGTCCTTTTTGCAATTTGACAACTTTTCATCAGAACCATCAGCACAATCGTTCATGCCATCGCACACCCACCCATCTCGAACACAACCTGTAGAGGTTTCACATTTGAACTAAAAAGAAAAAGCAAAAGCTACAAAAAGAAAAAGAAAAAATATATATTGTATTTTAATTTATAACAAAAAAGCATATATATTCAAATATTTTACTAGATAATCTTACAAAATTAGGCAAGCATTTAGAGGGAGGACAGCTCTCTTCATCTGAATTATCTCCACAATCATTTTCTCCATTACAATTGAAACGTGGCTGAATACATTTTCCATTAACACATTTGAAATAACCTTCTTTGCATTCTGGTTTGCAGCCGAATTCATCACTACCATCCTCACAATCAGCTTCTCCATCACATTTAAAACGCAACTGTATGCATTTTCCAGTACTCTTGCAAGTAAAACGGTTTGAAGGACAATTACTGCAAACACTCTTATCTTCATCTGAATTATCTTCACAGTCTTTCTCTCCATCACAAATGTGTTCCATCTCAATGCACTGTTGACCACTTGCGCATACAAACATATTTGGTTTATCTTTGCACTGTGGAGTAATGACTTGGGATATGCATCTAACATTATCAACTAAAACCATTTGAGCTGGACATGAACATATAGATCTTCCATTCACTGATTGACAACTATGTGAGCAGGTGTTATTAAAGCAAGTTGAATAAGTACCTAAATTGAAAAATTTTAAAAACAGGTTATAATTATAGCAATGGTTGCAATAACCTAGTGATAGGTTCTGTAGGAATGATCTCTGTTTTAACAGTGATATGTATTATTAAGTAATGTTTAAAAGAAACTGCCAGTTCTAATTCAAAAAATCTCTATTAATTAAACATTTTATTTCAAAATTACATTTAAAATACATACAATTACAATATTGTATTTACTTAGTATTAAATAATTATATATATATATATATATATATATATATATATATATATATATATATATATATATATATATATATATATATATATATATATATATATATATTGTGTGTGTGTGTATAAATATATATATATATGTGTGTGTGTATATATATATATATATATATATATATATATATATATATATATATATATATATATATATATATATATATATATATATATATATATATATATATATATTGTGTGTGTGTGTGTGTGTATATATATATATATGTGTGTGTATATATATATATATATATATATATATATATATATATATATATATATATATATATATATATATATATATGTATATATATATGTATATATATATTTATACACATTTAATTAGTAGCATTCATATAGGATGGGAAAAACCCGATATGAATAAACAAGTTAACCATGTTAAAATGTTCTTATAATTTAATATGATTTACCGGTTTCTTTTGTTACATTTGACATTTGTTAAAATTTTAATAAATCTTTTTGTATATATAGGAAGTTTGTTTACAATTTTATGGCTTTTATTTTATGGCTTTTAGTATGTTTTTAATGTATGTACATATATATATATATATATATATATATATATATATATATATATATATATATATATATATATATATATATATATATATATATCAAATAAAAAATGACACCATGCAATGAACTTTGAGAAACTGAGGCACAATGAACCAGTGCTACCACAATACCTATGCAGTTCAAGAGAATTTAGCCCACACACACCAAAAAAATATCTCATCCCAGTGGGCACAAGATATAAAAAAGATGCCTTTTAAATATCTTTTCAACGCCTTTTGAACTTTCAAAAGACAATTTAGGTTTCTACTTTAGGTTTCGCTTTTTAGGTTTTAACTTTAGGTTTGTGCAACAATTGTTTTACAACATAAATTGCGCTAAACAACTGATGTTAAGTTATGCAATTTAATGAGGTTTAACTTTGTTCCATTAATTTAATATTGTTTTATAATGGAAACAGTAAATGTTTCCATTACAAAACTGTTATCCAGCTGCTGTTGTATGGCATTCCTACAACTAGAAACAAAGCTTTATAAAGATTTTTTTTATTGCAAAAAAACCTTTCAGCCTAAATTATATTAACTTAACATAAGAGTTGCTTCTAACTGATCTAAATTTTTTTGACATTATGGTCAGAGGTGATTCATATTTACAAATAGTTGAAAATTTTTTATGGCCTCAAATTAAACAACGTGGCATGCACTTTCAAAAAAGATAGGGTATCTTTTTGAAAGTACATACCACATTTTTGGACCATCAAATTTTATTAATTCCTTCAAGTAATAAGCTAGCTTAATTGAAAATTTCCTCGACAATTGATAAGCGAGATCTAATTAAATTACATTCTTGTTCTCCTAATACTTCTCCTTTAAACTTTTTAATTTGAGATTACTTGAAATATATATATATATATATATATATATATATATATATATATATATATATATATATATATATATATATATATATATATATATATATATATATATATATATATATATATATATATATATATATATATATATATATATATATAAACCCTCTAACATAGATGAGTATTTGACTTTACGAAAATCCTGGAAATTTTTTTTAATGAAAATCCCGGAAAAATATTTTATTAAAAATTGATCGCTTTAACTGAAAACAAAAACTTTTGCAAACTTTTAAAACGGAATTTAGATTATTTAACTTTTTACAAAAAGAAATTTTTATATTCGAAAAAGTTAATTTAAATTAAAATGCAAAAAAAAAAAAAAAATAAGCAAAAAAATTGTTACGAGAATTGATCTCGTGAAAATTTTAACTATAGAAAACATACTTGTTTAAATGCAAAAGTTGTCGTTTTTAAAATTTTATGTAAAAATTAATTATTTTTTTAAAACAAATTAATAAAAAAAAACATCCGGAAATTTCTGGAAAATTAAATGAGTTTTAAGTTCTGGAAATTCTGGGAATTTTATGACTGGTGTGCACGATTTTAAAAATCCTTGTTTATTTGTTATTTAAATTAAAACAAAAATAGAGAAATGAAATAATTTAAAAACAAACAGAAAATTTGATAAAAATCTAGATTAAGTGATTAAAATATAAAAGGCAAAAAAAATGAAAAATATATAAAGTTTATTATAAATGTTAAACAAAATAATTGAAGGAAAAAAAAAAAAAAAGCAAAGAAAACATTTTATTTAAGTTCTAAATATATAATTAAAAAAAAACAACATCAAAATGAATATTTTTATTTCTAAATTAAAATAATTAAAACAAAAACAACATAAACATAAAAAAAAACAAAAAAAAAAAAACATTTAAATTCTGAATAAAATAATTACATTAAAAATAGCAAAATAATTTTTTTTATTTATTCTTTAAACAAGATGATTAAAACAGAAAACAAACAAAAAAATTTTATTTAAACTTTAATTTTTTGGTAAATACTTTTTTATGCACTTGCTAAAGTTTTTACGGGTATGTAGGTAAGCGTAAAAAGACTTGAGGAGCACTGGCTATATATAGCACATACTATATATATAAATTTATATATATATATATATATATATATATATATATATATATATATATATATATATATATATATATATATATATATATATATAAATAAAAGGTTAGATAAAAAAAAAAAACTTTTTTACGGTATATTATTATTATTGAAATAATAATATATAGCCATATATTATTATTTCATATATAATATATGGCTGATGAGTGCCAAAAACGGCGTGAAACTTTAAGTACCGTAAAAAAGTTGTTTTTTCTCATCTAACCTTTTATTTATTTATTTATTGCTCTATTTTGTGATTATTTCACTTTATATTGATCACTCTCAAATCGAAAAAGAGTTGATTATTATCAAATAATCAAAACAACTATATATATATATATATATATATATATATATATATATATATATATATATATATATATATATATATATATATATATATATATATATATATATATATATATATATACAACCCCCCTCGGAATTAGGAAAAATGATGTTGGCATTAAGTTGCCGACCTCAATCTTTTTGAGGTTGATATCAGGTCAGCAAAAATTTTTGATACTAAAGTCGGACCATAAAACATAGAAATGAAGTTGGCAATTTTTTGCCGACCTCAAGCACTTTCAGGTCGACATTGCCGACCTTAATTCCTAGGGTTGCGTATATATATATATATATATACATATATATATACATATATATATATATATATATACATATATATATATACATATATATACATATATATATATATATATATATATATATATATATATATCCACACACATATATTATGAATAAAAAAAGTAAAATATTATATATATTTATTTTAGAGATAATAAATATACAATTTTGTCTTGACGATGAGTAGACTTTGATATCCATAGGCTGTGCATCAAGTTTATCTTTAAATATTCTAACATTCTTTCCAGTAAGTTTATCTGCACGCTTTACAGATTTTGTGTGCCAATCTGTCCAATACAAATACAATCCATGTAGTGTCACACCAAAAACATGTGGAACATTCTGAATTACAGTCCTTCTGTCTCTCCCATTCATATCAGCTGATTCAATCCTTGAATATAAAAAAAAATTATATGTGATTGCAACATAATATATAGCAGGGTGTTAGCAAAAATAAAGTTGGTGTTAGACAAAATATATAGCAGGGTGTTAGTCAATAACAAAAATTTGTTTACATCAACCCTTGTTTAAAAGTGTTAAGCTCTGCAGTTTATACTTACAAATTTCACAGTTTCTATGCACATCTGCTTTCAGCAATGATAAACTGTTTATATTTTTAAAAATTTTAATTGATAAAAAATGTAATTATTTTTTTTAGTTATAGAAATTAAGTTTAGTACAAGTAAATGCAAGTGAAAAAAAACAACTTAAAGGATTAGTAAACTCCTTTTTTACTAATATTTTATTAATATTGTTTAAAGTATTTTTACCTTTTTTACTAATTTTTTATTAATATTGTTTAAAAGTACTTTTACATTTTTTACTAATTATTAATACTAACAAATAATACACTAAAATCTCACTCTATAGCACATCATTCCACACCAGCACCAGCAATTACTAATTTTTTATTAATATTGTTTAAACGTACTTTTACATTTTTTACTAATTATTAATACTAACAAATAATACACTAAAATCTCACTCTAAAGCACATCATTCCACACCAGCACAAGGCAGTTCGTCTTTTGGCTAAGAGTGATGGCTAGTGGCCTATGGTGACAAATGTGTGCATTTGATCAATTAAAATCCATTCTGTAAGTCTTATGTTTGGCTCCAAAATGCAAAGAGTGAGTGTGTTTAGTTTCTATTCACCCAATTTAAAAGCGCACAAAAAAACATATCGAGACCATACTAGATGACCAAACGAAACATACTAATGCACTACATCATCACACCTGTAGACATCAAAAGTTTCTAAAATCAGTAAATCAAATATTTGTTTTTTATTTGTCCTTATCCTTGTATATTTATTTAGTTTTGTGTTATGTGTAAATGAGACCATATATTTGTGAGAAGCATAACAGCGCAAAAATCTTACACAAAAATAAGTATTAGCAAAACAAGAATAAATTTATAACAAATATATTCTTGGTTGGAATTTACTGAACAATTCTAGTAGATAAGGTTAGACATATCACAATCTCTTAAGGTTTTTTGTTTGTATCTAACTTTCTTGATCTGACGTCGCTATGTTAGTTTGTTGTGGTTTGCATTATACAGTCTTCACTAACGTTCTTTTGGTCATTTTGTCAACAATATTATTTTTTAACGTTACATTTTTCAGTGGTTATAAGCTATTAGTTAAAAATGGCATTTGTTGTCTCATCTGTTTATTTTCTCACTATTCTCTGCCTACTAGTTTAATGTTTGTATTTTTTTATCTCTGGCTAATTTTATTATATTTTTTATTTTATTTTATTGGAATTTTCATGCTATATTTTTCTATACAATGTTCTTATATCCGAAGATATTGTTGTCCTAGCATAGGAACAGCCACAAATAGTCATTAAGACTTATCCAAAGTAGCGTCCGTTATTGACCAATATTTTTTGCATATCGAAGTACTACTCAAGCACTGAGTTGGCAGTGGCAGGATTTGAACTCGTATCTTACAACTGTCCGGGTTTAAACTTTTTGTTCAATGCTCTAACCAACTGAGCTATCCAGCTACAAAGTTTTATGAATCTAATCTCATTTCTGTAAAAGATTTGGGCCTGCAGTGGCTTGTGAATTTTAAACTAATCATTTTTTAATTACTCTGAGTCTGTTTTGTGTGATAGCTATTGTCTCTACTTATCAGGGCAAGATTTATATTTCTTATACTATTGAAGTTACCACATTTTCTACCGTATTTTCTACTAACTGTTTTCATACTAACCACAAACCATTTTAACTTAGTTTTGATGTTTATGAATGGTATTTACTTACGTGCATTCCTAAGAAGGGGGATCACCATTTATCCACTACTTAATTCTAATTGGTTATTATAGCACCAATATTTTTTTACCTCTTACACCCATGAATTTTAGCTTTGTGAGCTTTTTATTATGAAATTATATTTATGTTACACATATGATTATCAGTTTTCAATTTATTATCTAGAGTTTAGACCATAAATATGGTATAAGCTCTAGATAATAAATTAAAAACTGATAATCACCTGTGTAACTGTGTACCACATTTATTAACCTATTTGTTTTTTTTATATTGCTTAAACTATCATTTATTATCATTTTACTGACTATTTTGTTATCTACTTATTTTATTGTTTTTGTATAGTGCGATTATTTTAGTAATGGTGACCATTAATAAACCAGCGGATTTATATTGACTTCTTTACTCATAGATCATTGTCTTATCATTTGCTAAGGATAACTAGAGTGTGAGTTATGGTTCCCCTCTTCCTGAGTCGCTAAATTTTATTCTTCCTACAAAATAGTCTTTACATCCATTTATGATTCTTATTCGATGACATCATCTACAATCTACTTCTATTTTCACATCTCCCAGGTCTATGTAACTGGACGGCTGCGTTGGTCACTTTTTGTGATCATTGTGTTGCATAAAAAATAAAATATTTTTACCTTTTTTAATAATTTTTTATTAATATTGTTTAAAATATTTTTACCTTTTTTACTAATTATTAATACTAACAAATAATACACATAGCATTATGTTTTCAAGTTCAAAGTACTAATAAAATATTTTAGATTAGATTTCTTTTATAATTTAATTATTGCATGATAACCATTTAAGTAAGATAATACTTTTTATAAAAATAATACAGAAAAAATATATAAAAAACAATAAGTAACTATTTAGCTTTCTATTCACCCCATTTGAAAACAAAACGAGACCATACAAGACGACCAAACAGTACATACTATTGCACTTGTTGACATCAACAGTCTCTAAAATCAGTATATCAAATATTTGTTCTTTGTTACATACGATCTACACAAAAAGTGACTAGAGTGTTAGTTGTTTCTTCCCCTGTACCTCGAGCATCTACTTCGTTCTTCACTTTCACGAAAGTCTTACCACTCATTTTATACTTTCTTATGAATTTTATTTTTTTGTTCAATGACACCATCTACTAATTGTTTTTATTTTTACATCTCCAAGGTCTCATAACTGGACAGCTTTGTTGGTCACTTTGCAATCATTGTGTCGCATAAAAAAATAAATTTATTCTTTGTGGCTGGTGAGCCCCATTTTTTTCCAATGTACACCGCAAAGGCAAAACGGATATTAGGCTATTCTGCTTAATGTGGTTATGACGCTCAATAACTTATGACTGCGCTGACACTCACGTACACGTTCATTCTTAAGATTTCTTTTATACTATGAATGCATGATGACCATTTAAGTAAGATAATAATTTTATAAAATATTATAGAAACAATATATGCAAAGCAATAAGTAACTGTAATAAAAATATTTATTTTTATTCAAAGTTTTTTCACTGCTATTACACAAATATTCAGTTACTACTTCAAAACAATAACTTAACAAATGATAATTATTTATTGATTTATTTTGATTACTAATTGATCTTTTACTTGTGTTTGACAATTTGCGGTGCAAAAAGTTATATTATATCAAATAAGTTTAATGCATTTATGCTAACCTTTTTGCATATTGAATTTATAATAACTTTATTGGTAAGCAACAATTTTAGGTTGTTAAATAGCTGCTAAATATTTAGGTTTAAAATTTAGAAAACCTGTCTGTCCTTGCATCTGCCCAATAAATACGACTTTCTGAAATATCAACAGTAAGACCATTTGGCCAGCCAAGATTAGTTTCAATAATAGCCATGGGGTTTAATCCATTGACAGAGGCTCTTTTAATATAAGGCTTCTTTCCCCAATCTGTCCAATACATTAAAGCTAAATAGGAAGTAAAATAAATGAGACCAACACAAGTTTAAATAACATACTAACTTATTATGACATTTCTCCTACCATCACACGGGCTAAGAGCAATTGCTCTTGGTTCATCTAGTTCATCGTGAACTAGAACTTCTTTAGTTTGATTTTTAGTTAAGCGATTGATGGTTTTTTCCTGAGCATCTGTCCAATATAGCATTCCTGAAGTCCAATCATATGCTATTCCATCTGGCGTTTTTAAGCCTAAAAACAAGTCAAACTATTTTTAAAATTTTAAAATTGTTTTATTTTAGTTTTGGATTATTTTGAAAACATAAATAAATTTGATCAAATTTTTTTTTTAAATAATAAAATTTTATTATCTTAGAAAATATTAAGGAACCTTTAACAAGGGTTGTTTTCTCAGCACCTCCTAGTTCTATACTTCCAATTTCTTTCTTAAATATATCTGAATAGAAGATAATCTTTCTGGAAAAATCAAAATCAATACCAATAGCATTATCTAGCAATGTAATTGGTGGATAAGGAGCTGATGTATAAAATGGATTTAAATCAAGAAACTGTATTTCATTACGTTTGGCAAAAATCAAAAATTCAGATGACTCTTCACAGTTAAGCTGATCTGCAGAAAGCTTTCCATGAGAGCAAACACATCTATTGAAATAAATTCAATAAAATAATATAAAAGTGTAACATAATATATATATAAAAGTGTAACATATATATATATATATATATATATATATATATATATATATATATATATATATATATATATATATATATATATATATATATATATATATATATATATATATATATATATATATATATATATATATATATATATATATATATATATAGTAGCACCCAAAAGTTTGCAGACAGGCAAAAAATAATGGAATTTTACTCATATTTTAGCATATACTTTTTTTTTAACTGGTACAAATTTTTCAACAATGTTTGATCACAAATTTATATAAAAGCAAAACTACATTTGTAGGATATCCTTTACAATCAAGATTGTAAAAAAATCAGCTTGGCATAGATAAACTAAATTAATGCAGCGTCAATCATCAAAGAAAATAGCTGTTAGTGAGATATTGCAGTCAATAGCATATTCACAGTCATCTATTACTTGTATGATGGCATCAGTTGTACCTCTCCCAGGAAGAAAACTTAATTGGCTATTTGATTAATATCTAGTACGACATAATGTTTTGCAAGGATAAAAAAAAAAACAGCATGATTTGTATTTTGACCATTGATGACTACTTTACCTGAAACTAATGGATTTTTTAGCTGGGCGTCTTCCAAATTAGCGTGACGTAAACAATGTTTTATAGTAGAAATACTACAATTCATTCCATAGAAACGTCTCATTTGTACATTTATATAAACAGCTGTCAAACAGGGATTTTCTTTGCTTGGTGTCACAAGCTTTTTACCCTGATAATGTGCTATTTTGCATGGTCTTCCTGATTGATTTTAATTCTTTGTAGACCAAGTAAGCTCATACCTCTTCATAATTTGTCCAACAGCAGACTTCACGACTCCATAAAGCTGCGCTGTTTTACAAAATAAATTTCCATTTTAAACTGATCTCAAGATTAATTTTATAGAGATAAAATAAAATTCTTAGATCTCATGATCTGAATAACTTATAAATAAGCTTTTTAAATTATTTCCACAAAGTATTTTTTTTTAATTATCAACAAATTAGCAATTTTGTGGGAAAACTGTTAAAAGCTTTAGTTTGTCTGCAAACTTTTAAACTTATTAAAAACTGTTGCTTTGTAAACCAATTTTAAAATATTAGATAAATAATTATCGTTACTCCAAAACATATATGTTAACCTGAAAACCTTTTTAATTGGTATAAAATATGATGGCTTAGTGGTGTATGCACTAAATATTAGAAAAATTTAATTTTTTTTTGCCTCTCTGCAAACTTTTGGATGCTACTATGTGTGTGTGTATATATATATATATATATATATATATATATATATATATATATATATATATATATATATATATATATATATATATATATATATATATATATATATATATATATATATATATATATATACATATATATATATATAAATTTCTTGGATTAAATAAAAAATTAGTATTGAGAGAATTCGTATTCATTGATGTTCATATATATATATATATATATATATATATATATATATATATATATATATATATATATATATATATATATATATACATATATATATATATATATATATATATATATATATATATATATATATTTATATATATATATATATATATATATATATATATATATATATAAATATATATATATATAAATATATACATACATACATACATACATATATATATATATATATATATATATATATATATATATATATATATATATATATATATATATATATATATATATATATATATATATATATATATATATATATACATATATATACATATATATTTATATATATATATATATATATATATATATATATATATTTATATATATATATATATACATATTTATATATATATATATATATATACAAATATATATATATACATATTTATATATATATACATAAATTTTTTTTTTTTTTAATTTTACTTCACCTCCTCAAGGCCGAGAAGGCCACTACAGACGAGGAGGCTACTTATTTTGTGGCTATATATATATATATAAAATATATATATATATATATATATATATATATAATATATATATATATATATATATATATATATATACATATATATGTATATATATATATATATATATATATATATATATATATATATATATATATTTATATATATAAATAAATAAAAATAACAAAATTTAATATAAAAACTATATTTTTATAATAAAATAATAAATTTTGTATAAATAAAAATAAAAATAAAAATTTAAAAAAATATATAAATATGATAAAAATAGTATAAAAAAAGTAAAGAAAAACAACTGAACTGGAACAAAAATAACATGTCCCCAAAAGTCGCCAACTAGGATGCTATATATATATATATATATATATATATATATATATATATATATATATATATATATATATATATATATATATATATATATATATATATATATATATATATATATATATATATATATATATTTGGGGTAGCTATTGTTTTTTTTCATTATTCTTAGTTGGTTTTTTTCATTATACTTTTCCAAAAAACTGTATTGAATTAGGTAAAGCAATTAGGACAACAAGAAATTGTTACCAAATGTAAATAATACCCTTTTATGTTGTAGGAGATGTATACATATTCAAGACAGAAAAAAAATCTTATAAAGCACTTTCACAATATTGGGAATACAGATGTAACTGGCAAATAAAATATTTAAAAAAAAACGCATCTTCTTAATGTGATATAGAAGAAAACAAAAATGAAAGACAATTGTTTGCTTATGTATCACTCATTTATCATGTATCACTCATTTATTCTTTGAAATAAATGATACTTTGATTACTTCAATTGCGTACTTTGCTTTTAAAAACACTTTTAAAAAGTTTAAATTATTGTTTTTAAATAGCTGAAACTATAATTTATAACTTTTTAAATAGCTGAAACGACTTACACAATATATTGTACAGAAAATTTATGAATATTTAAACTTTCAAATACTTAAGTTTTGAAAAACATTTTTAAAGAGTTTAATAAAAATAATTTAATAAAAACTTCTATTATGGACACGGCTGTTTCAGAGTGAGCTTTACGGCTTCTTGTTATTTTTTGAAAATTTTGACTTAGAAGGTGTTACTAAAACAATGAACTTGGTTAAATTTTAATAATTTGTTGTTACTTTTTATCACAAAAAAAATCAGAAAAATATAATTCTGATAGTTATTATCAAATACACTCATTATTTAACTATTATTAAAATAAAAAAATCTTACTTAATTGTTAAAGGCAAATTGAAACAGTCCTTATTGATGTCTGCAAGCCAACCGCATTGTTTGCAAAATTATGAAAAAAGTCGTTAAAGGGGGGATTAATTGATGATGAGCACGTTTTTAAATCTAGAAGTTCTTGTTTAAAAAAATAGTTCACTAATTTTTTAAATTCAATGCATTATAAGATAAAACCAGATTTCAATTTTGAAATATTTAGTCTTAACATTTTAAGCTAAAGCCTTTAAAAAACTTAAGCAATTCTTTTCTATGCATACAGTTTTAATAATATGGCGTTAGGTTGTTAATAAATAAAGACTAATAAAATAATTCATGACCAAAACTGAGTTAATGTTTTTGAATTAACCTCGTTTTTGGTAATAAAATTATTTTATGGCACTCAAGTCAATCTTTTCTCACAAATAAAAAAACGTTTCTTTAAATACACAAATAGCTAATTTATATTGTTTGATGTGTTTTTATTCTCATAACAAACTTTTTATAATGAGTTCAATTAATAAGTTCTTTAAGTAGAAAACGATCTTTGAACACCCAGTTGATAATGGATTTATGCACCATTCTAAAGAAAAAACCGCCTAACTTTGTTTATTTTATACTTCAAAATTCGTCTCGCTAAGAAAGTTGTTTTCATAAAATTTATTACATTTTTGCTTGGTATATACAGAATTTAAGGTCACGTGATTGTTTTGAAATGTAAACAATGTTTTTGCGCATTAAAGTAGAAAAACTTGTTTTTCTAAACTAGCCAAGTTTGATAACATATTTCATAACATAGCTAGAGGTACAGCAAACAACTTTTCGATTTTTATATGCAGAAAGGGTTGAAATTTCAATAATTTGGTGCGGATTACAAAAATAATACGATTTTCATCATTTAATAATAAAATTAAAAATATAAATGCATTAAAAAATAGTTAAAAAATAAAAAAACAACAATCCGCACCAAAAATTAGGTAGAATAGACATTTATTTATAAATGTTCCAAACTTCAACCATGAGGCATGTAGCTATGTTATAAAATCTTAATTGACCCAAGTCAGGTTTTCCATAAAAACCACAAAAAACAGAAAAGTGATCCCAAATCGTTAGCAATATTTAAACATTAATATTTTTATTCCATTTAATGTAAATATTTATTTAAAAAAAAAAGATAGGTCTTTTATATTTTTTTATTTGAAGATTAAGGTGCTTATAGGAAAAAACACTACTATTTAAATTAGTGCATTTTTAAACTTTTTTTGCGGAAGTAATTTTTTTTTTTTTGATAAACACAAAAATAACTGTGGCGTCAAGCTCGCTTTTATATTGAGTGAAACAGCCGTGTGGATGCAACCCTTTAATTTTTTGAATTACTTTTTATACAATTATTCAAAGGAGTATAGATAGCCTCGTTATCAAGTATAATATATCAATATATACCTTATATATACCTATACCTTGAATTGTATAAAAATTAATTCAACAAAAATAGTTACATTCATAAATTTTTATTTAATTAAATACATGAGTATTTTTAAATGTTATAGTATAAATACTTAACAAACAAAAATTTTAAACTTTTTTACATAGATATTTGTATTTTTGATCATCTAATTTTAAATAATAAGTCATCATTAAATAAACTTTTATGAAATTTAAGTAAATTGATTTAAACAGCATTAAATATGTTTAAACATGATACTTAAA